GAGTTTGTACATGATCCTTAATATATATATATATATATATATATATATATATATATATATATATATAGGGGTGAGATCTTATACTAACTAGTTCTCCCATGCTAACTCGTGAAAACTCCGACAACCGGTGGTATTTTTGGCTCAAAGTTTTTGTGTATGTTCCTCATCAAGTCTAGTTCATCAATACCAAATTTGAGCAAAAAATTCAATCGGGAAGGTCATCAAATGATTTTTGAAAGAAAACTGGTCCGGAAAATACATATAAAATGCAGTTTTCTTTCAAAAATCATTTGATGACCTTCCCGATTGAATTTTTTGCTCAAAATTGGTATATATGAACTAGACTTGATGAGGAACATACACAAAAACTTTGAGCCAAAAATACCACCGGTTGTCGGAGTTTTCACGAGTTTGCATTTTAAGCATGGTTTGCATTTGATCTCTTACCTATATATATATATATATATATATATATATATATATATATATATAGGGGTTGGTTCAAAAAATAAAAAAAATAAAAAATAAAAAATATAGGGGTTGGTTCAAGTAAAAAGTAGTCTTCCCATGAAAAGCGAGAACAAATCTTGGCCTTTGATCACTTGAAAATGGATGGATTAGATGAACTTTAAACACAAGAGACGGTTTTAAAAAATGTGCAAATATTTATACTATAAAGTGGTTAGTTACTGATTAAAAGTGCACTCATGCGTGTTAAAAAAGCTTGTCAAAATTTTCTAACTTCTGCACTTTTTATTTTGTACTGTATTGCACTTTTGTGCTCTACGTTTGCACTTTTTGACTATTCTGATATACATTTGTCACAATATTTTCAATAAAAGTTCTTCATAATTACCAAAATGCCACCGCGTTTTTCACTTAAAATTTGATCTCTTCCATCCATTTTTTCACATCAATGGCCAAGATTAGTTCTTATTTTTCACCTAGGAAGCACTTTTTATTTGATCCATACTCTATATATATATATAGATTTAGGTTCAAGTGAGAAAATCATCTTAAGAGAGAAAAGAGAATCAATATCAACCATTGGATGTACACTTCTTTCTCAAAAACTCGTATCTATATGTAGAGGCTATTTTGTAATTTCACACATGCATTAATTACCATCAAAACTAAATAACGTAATACTTGCTGCTACTTTAATTTGGCCGTTTGACCATTGATAGAATACGCATTAATACCTTGCTTTCTTTTAATTTTTATTTCTTTATTATTTCTTTCCCTTATCATATATTCATCCGTCTATTTGTTTTTATGTATAGCTATTAATTTAGATTTTAATTTGGCTCTAGATTTACTGTATATTTTGAATTTGATAAATATCAGATTTTATTAAAGTTGTTCAAATTATGCACTTTTAATACTTTTGTATTGAAAAAGAAATACTATGAAAAGTAAATATCATGACTATGTCACCTTCTTTGAGAATATATGAGAATTATCAACTGTTAATATATACCAACTTGAAAATATCAACATGCCTAAACTAAAATATAATGCATAATAATATGTATACAGGTGCACTATGCACTTTCACTTCACAGAACCTATAAAAGTGTATAATACATTGGCTATCATGAAAAACATACTCCGTATGAGAGTGCACTAAACTAAATAGTGCACTAATCTAACCAACTAAGGTGCATACTATATATTGAGTTTTAGTTAAGATGCACCTTTAAAGCTAAAATGTGCAAACAATCACTTTTGAAAGTGCACACTATTGAGTTGTAGTTACGATGCACCGTTAAGCTAAAAATGTGCAAACAATCAATTTTGAAAGTGCATAATAATATATATAAATGTACAACTCAATAATATGCACCTTTAAAGCTATAAAAGTGCACAACGTACAATTTTTAATTTGTGTATATAATGCATATAATGCAATTTAAAAGTTAATATGTGTATAAAATGACATTGTATATAAAGTGCATAGAGTTTAAGTAAAAGTGCACCCTCTTAATAAACAAAAAACATTTCATAGGGACTATAGATTGCACTTGAAGGTTCGTGTAGATGCACTTAAATAAAATTGCAAGTACTTAATAATAAATAATTTAAACATTTATCTATTTTACAGTGCACGTGTAGATGCAAATTAAATGTTCCAAGTTCCCACTTATTTGTTTCTAAATAAAGGCCATGTAATAAAGGAAAGTAAATTGTTGATGTGTACACACGTATAAGCTTTTAATTAATAGCAAAGCTCCTTACAAAAATACCCCTAATGCAATTTCCGATTAAAATAATATTACCTATCATTAAATGCTTTCCCTTAATAAGTTAAGGTGATGTGTAATACGTGTCTAAATTTATGGCCATCGGATTGATGGTATGAATGGCCAGATTATATTCTTATTTCTCTCCTGGGGCATCATTCTCACAGGAACCGCACCCTATATTTAGGATCAAGTGAGAAAGACATCTTAGGAGAGAAAAGAGAATCATTTATAGCCTTTAGATCAAATTTTAGTTTAAATTTCCGTTTTTCTTTCTAAAGGGTAAATGAGATATTTTCATATCTCCTTTATTGCATTTATTACATCCTAATCTATTTAAGTAGTTACGTATAATGTTTCTTTCCTTTTCAGTTTTTCGCTTTCTTTCATATATATGTATTACGTTACTTTCACTTTCAATAATCATCAACCGTCCGCATGATTTAATCCAGCGGATGTTGTTGGTTTGTAGGTTAATTAGCACCTGAAGCTTGGTTTGCATGGGATCTCACCCCGGCCTATGTATACATATATATACATATATGTGTGTATATATATATAGACACACACACCACACACACACACTATGCTTATCGTGCAAACGCTTGTACGATGCATTTTACGTTATTTGTATTGCATATTGAACTTCAAAGTGTTGCATATTATTTAATCATCAAATAGCAGTTGCATATTGATGCTCAAAGAGTTGCGTCCTAAGAAGTTGGCTTTTATTACAAAAATGCCACATTGCCTTTATACCCTTTAGATCAACTCATCGGATGACCAAGATGAGTTTGTAATTTGTAAATTAAGGAGGGTTTGTATTTGATCTCTATTGTATATAGGAAAAAGATCATGAATGCCCATCCGAATGAACAGGAGGCACCGTCCGGCTGCCGCCATTTGGGGCGGTTCGCGGTGGAGTTTTTTGGTGAAATATTTTGTGCATGTTCTTGATCAATTCTAGTTTATCCACACAAAAATTCAGCTAAAAATTTGATCGGGTAGGCAGTCAAATAATTTTTTCAAAATAACTGTGTTTTACATGTATAATTTAGCGCAATTGTTTTCAAAAAAAATATTTGACTTCCTTCCTGATCGAATTTTTAGCTAAAATTTTTTGAGGTGTAGTTTGTAAATGTTTAATTTATTGTAGTTTGTATTTGATCCGTATTACACACACACACTCCCTCCATCCCATTTTAGTTAGGAGAACTTGACTTTTCAAGTCAATGATATCCAACTTTGACCAATTATATATTTATATAAAGAAAGTATTAACAATATGAAAATGTTGTGTGTTGTTGTAAGTATTGACCATATAAAAATATTCTTTGTTAAAAATACTATCATGAAAGTATAAAATTATTAAGTTTTACATAAATATACTCCGTATTAATTAAAATAATTGGTCAAAGTTTAACATCTTTGATTGGAAAAGTAAAAGATGTCTACCTAAAATGGGATTGAGGTAGTGTGAGTGTGTGTGTGTCAGTAGTGATGGCAACGGGGCGGATCGGGGACGGGTACACATAAAAACGGAACCGCCCAGTTGGATAAATGTTTGCCCCAAAACCGCCCCATTAACCATTCGGGTAATTTTTATTTGAATCGTACCCGCCCCAACGGGGAATCGGTTTATCCACGGGTAACCGTTTCCCCAAATGATACCAAATAACCAACTTTTTTTGGGAAAACAAACAACCAATTTTTAATCCTACTTGTTATTTATATATTCAAAGCACCCTAAAACATACAAAAATAAACATTTAAGTAATCAAGTAGACTGACCTAAATTCATTAGTATGACATGCACCCAATATCTCTTGTAACATAATAAAAAAGTAGTAATCACAGTGTGTGTAAAAGCAATTTTTTGTAGGGGCGAGAAAATTAGGAAGTGCAAATTAATAATGCAACTTATTTAATTATTATCAATATACATAAAAGCTAGCTTCAAAGTAGCTAGCTAGGTGAGGATACATCGTAGTGTACTGTACGTACTTATTTAGCTAGTTTTGATTGTTGATAATTAAAGAGAGTAGATAATATACGTATAATGCATGCATGTGAGGTTAATTATACATATGGATGGATGGAAGATGATGCGTGCATGGATCATGGATGGATCATGTGCAAGAATTAGCATTCTTTTTTGCTACGGTGCCGGCCTTTAAGCAACCAGAGATGGGTGGGCTAATAGTTCCCGCGGCTGTTCCATATACGTCTGCACAGAGCGGAGGGCCAGCCTTTGTTCCCGAGGCCGTGAGAGAGATGGCAGATAGTTTTACCTCCGCACAAGGAACGGTCCCGCTGCAAGCTAATTCCATACCTTGTTTTGTGTATGTTCCGGTAAAGCCTTGGAACGTTACATCTGTTACATCCACCGCTGCTGTTTGGTTTTTGCATCCCCCACCGTCACAGTAAAACTGGTCAATCATGATTGGCGTCTCCACACCCACACATTTAATGTTTGTGAACGACACTCCACTCACTGATCCTGATCCTCCCTGCATGCATGCGCCCATCCATCACAAAACATACATCCATCGTTAGCACGGACGTGGATCATATCATTTATGGTCAGTCGAACATCGTAAAACGCGTGAGAACCTAGCTAGCTTTTCTACGAGACAGAGGCCGGTAGTATTTATTACTAGCTAGCTAGTATATCCATGTACTATATATCGATCATACTTACGTACCTGCCATGTCTTTATCCTCCCACCGGTTAGTGTATCCGTAAAAGTGCTGTCACTAACTTTGATGTTTGAGACACATGCTTGAGTACCACCCTTACCAAGCCCTCCAATGCTAACTCCATGACCAGGTCCACATGTCAACTTCGATATATCGACACCGCTGCATCCCGTTTGTATGGATACGCAGTCGTCTCCTGCAATGCATGCATGCACATACATGCATCAGATGATGATTAATTATTATATGCGTGCATGATCGAGTATGCATCTATATATCTACGCACGCACGTACCACATGCTATAGTTGTGCCTGTAATGGTAACGGTCTTGGTGTTCTGTAGGTGAATTCCATCTGTGTTGGGGCTGTCCCCAGGTGAAGTAATTTTAATATTGCTGACAGTGACACCGGTGCAACCATTAAACTTGAGGTGCGCCTGAGGGCTGTTCTTTATTTGGATTCCAGTTACTGTTACATCGGTCGATCCGTAAAACCGGACAGCCTGCACATATATTTAATCATCTTTGACTTGTCCAGTTAACGACATTAAACTTCCACTACGATAACGTTTTTTGAAGTTTTCTATTACCACTAGTATTTTGTTCAAAATACTACTTGATCAATACTTATCATATACGGATCGGAGTACCAAGTAAATAAAAAATATATAACTGTTACTAAAATATAAGGATTACGGTTGGAGGGAGTTTTAATTAATTAATTAGCATGCATACTGTTGGCTTGGTCCCTGACGCAGTATACCAGCCTGTTGCTCCATTACCATCAAAGCCTCCGGTACCACTCAATGTAAACCCTTCCACACCTTTAATATTGAACCATTGAAGACTACCGGTCCATAGTGACGAGCCATGAGGCGGAGCAGTGATTACGCCATTTACCTGCATGCATCATATATTAATTACCATACCATATACGGAGTAAGAAACTGCTCTAAATGGAATCAGAACAGACATCGTGCACAAATAAAACAAGGGAAAAATACCTATATATGAGTAAACCTCATGTCAATTCCTAAAATATGACCATGAATGTTTCTTTCTCAATATATGACTAAATATGTATGGAATGAAATAAGAAAAATGAAGCACTTGATGGTATGGTACATGCTATTTGGCATTCTTTAATTAGGGAAAAAAAGATATAAGTCATATTTTGGGAAATACGCAATGTTATGGTCATACAAGGGGGTAATTTTCTCATAAAACTACTTACTCCTATTTTCAAAATATGATTTATTTGGTCCTATTTAAAGTAATCATATTAGAATGAATAAGTCCTGTTTTAGGTAGAAATCATAATAGTTCTCGGAAAATTCCCAAAATAGGAGTGAAACGCTTGAAATTTTCAAAATAAGACTCGTGTTTTTAATCCTCAAATAAGAGTAATTACTGTCAGTTGGAAAATGTTTCCGTATTTAAAGTCTAGTACTACCAAAACATGGCAGAGATTACTCTTATTTAGGGTGGAACTATATCTGTGTTTTAGTCATATTTAAGGAATTTTTTATATATATATAGTCCGTATATATTAAAAGTATGGGAAAATTCCCGAAATAAAACTAAAAGTTTGAGAATTCCAAAATACGAATTTGTATTCTTTAAATACGAATAATTAGTGCCAAGTTGAAAAATACTGCCGTATTTAAAATCTAGGACTACCAAAACATGGCAATAATTAATCATGTTTAAAAACGTAACATGATAATCATATTTTGAAACATACATACATATTTGCTCATCTTATATAAATTGTCGCATGTGTACATGCATAAGTACCTGAAATGCAAAGCCTTTTCCACATGGCCCTTCCAATGTTATCTCACCGACAAGGCAGGTCATTCCAACGGGTACCACCAGTGGGGACCCTGCTCCACAAGCAGCTGCCCATGCCTTTTGGAATGACTGTGCGCACACGTGCATCCAAATGTTAAATATTTGGTTTATATAAAGAATTCACTCAAAATAGAAGTAGAATATAGACAAATTTCTAATTTAAAATGAGATTTAGTACGTTTTTCTTCAAAGTAAGAGTTAAATACTCTCCATTAATTTCAATCTAAAATGAAGTAATGGAGAGTACGTATTTGAAACAAAGATAAATGAAACAAAGATGGGAGAGGAATGAGTATATATTAATTAATTATTCCATTAAAAACTTACGGCAGTATCATCAGTTTTGCCATTACACGTGAGGCTGCCGGTAGCGCTCACACAACTTTGGGAAAAGAACAGGCCAAGAGAAGTAATGAAAATCGTAACAAGTGTTATTTTGTTTTTATTGTAATTAGGAGACATATTTATGATTGTATATATAGCTGTGTAGTTACGTATGTACGTTATGAGATATATTTATAAGTGTGGTGATGTGTATATTTATGTGGCTTGATAGTATAATTAGCTTGTTTCCAAGCTAATTAAGCTAGGGAATAATATAAATATATATACGGAGTGTGTTTTTTATGGCTAGCTTATGAGTTGTGATGGAATTGGTTCCCACACGCAGTTCTTTTATAGGTGATCTCAAGAAGAAGCTAGGGGACATTGTGCACGTATAACAATATTATTTGTTTATAGTGTTCCTTACATTGTTTATTATATATATCATATGACAAACAATATTTCCCTGAGCATTATTTTTTGTATCAATTTTGACCATGCATGCTGTTTTGCTACATGTACTATTTGTCTGCGTGATATGGGGATGGGAAACTTGATTAGCAACAAAATTGTAGGTAGTAGTTTCCTTCACCTTTTTAAGTTTTATTTCGACAAAGATCATCGATCTAAAGTGACACAAGGTTGAGCAAAATGCGAATTCATTCATCAATGGATTGAATACAAATTCAGAAAATTGTTGCCAATAATAATCGCTAATCCCAACTATTTTTGGTCAGCTGTTAATAATTTTAACTATCGATTTATTTTTTTATAGTTTCAAGTCTCAACTATAGGGATCATTTTCAAAATAGTACCTAATCAGCTACAACCCGATATAGCAGGTCAATTTTAAATGAAAACTAAGCATAAGCTATAGATAATCTCAACTATAATTGATCTTTTTTATTGATTCCAATTATCAACTCCCAATTTTCGGAAGAGTAAAATATTTTTTAAAAATTTCCAAATTAAATACTTTTAAACATGTACAAAATAACTACGGAAATTCTACAAATGTACCGAGGTTAAAGAAAATCTATTCAATCATTTTTTAATTTATTTTAACTAAAATTTTATTTTCTTTTCTTTTTGTTTCCAATTTTTTCCCAGTTGTGTTACTAATTTATGATTTTGTATTATATTCTTTTATTCAAATTTGCATTTTCTATTTTCAAAACGTATACTATGATGAAAAAATTTTGATTTAGAGATTTATACTAGCTTTTTCCTGAAAATATACTTTATTTTATTTTTATGCAATAATCGTAATTCTAAAAAAAACTAAATGAATGGAGATTTTGACTATTTTTAAATTAAATTATATAATAAAGTTTGTCGTCTAGTTTTAAAGATTTAAGGTATAAGTTATGGAGGTTTTGACTATTTTTAATGAAAATGTATTAATATTATAATTTTAAGTGATATAATGAAAATTCTTAAAAATGTATAAAAATGTAAACAGCTTGAAATGACGATGAAAACTTATGATAGAGCATAAAAAGTAAAAAATGATAAAATTAATTAAGCAAAAACTTATTTATACATAAATAAAACAAATTACAAAAAACAAATAAAAGTATCCCACTTTAAATAATTGGTTATCTGATACAATTTTAGTTCATGACCAGCATTAAATGTCGATTTTAACCGCATTAAATGCGCACTTTTCACTAGTGATGTAATAAAATATGTCTATAAAAGTATATATGGCAATTTAATAGATAAGAATGGAGTACTATTTTTCAATTCATTTGCAATCCTTTTTATTTATTATATTGGGATTATTAAAAATGGATCAGCCATAGTTCGAATTATTATAAACAGGTATCCTTTTTTGACCTGGACAACCGGTGACCGGTCAGGGGGGCTACTATGGGAAGATGACCCATATGGTTGGGATAACCCAAGAATATATAATCGATAGTTCTTAGGTATTAACAACAAGTAAGGTAATATTTGGGATTATCTTCAATCTTTCCTAAAAATTACTCACTTTGTTCCGCTAGGATCGTCTCACATCTCCTTTTCGGTTCGTCCCACTAAGATTGTCTCATACAAGATTTGGTAAAATTTGTGTGGTTCTAAATCATTTTTGCTTTACTATTACTTTCAATTCAATATGAATCACATAAGTCCACTTTTCTTAACAACTGCACCACCTTCTCATGTCTCGGTATTAGTTAGACGAGGGTATAATATATTAAATCAAAGTCACAATACTTTGAAATTTCAAAAATTAAGAAAAAAGTACCACGACATGAATAGTTGACAATTAACTGTTCATCCCAAATGAATATATAAATATTAATATATTATAATATCAAATAATTTACGATTTATTACACATATGTATGTATACATAAATTTGTAGTATAATCTTAAAAACAATTGTATACTTATAATATATTGAGTGAAGCAGGACAGGGCGACACAAGTCAATACAAATACCTATCCATGTCCATTATATTGTATGGGAGAGCCAAACCTACCCCATTTGCAAGACAGACCCGCCCCAATTGTAAGGAATGGGAGGCCAAGTCCTTGCGGGCCGATTTGCTTACATGCCTAGAAATATCCACATTTTGAAATCATAATTTGGCACTAGAAGTCTGATCTGCAACCATAGTACCATATTTGACAATATTTTTCAAGTATTTCAGGAATTGCTCTTATTTTGAGAAGGGAATATAGTACTTTTGTTTTAAAATTCTAAACTGTTTTTACTCCTAACTTTTTAGGGGCAATTTATGTTAGAATTTCAGGTTGAGCCAAATAATTAATTTATGATAGTGAAAATCTAGAATTTCTTTGTACTTCCTCCGTATTTCAAATGTCGCTACGTTTGGTTATGACACAAGATTTAAGGTAGAATAGTAAGGACAATGAATAGTATAGGAAAAGTATGAGAGAATGTGAAAAAGTCGGAAAGAGATGATATAAAGTAAAAAAAAAGTAAGGGTAATTGAGTATTTTTAAAGGAAAAACTTACCAAAAAGTGAAAGTGTAGAAAACTTTTAAATACATCCCAAAAAGGATAGTGTAGGAAACTTTTAAATATGAAGGGAGTATTCAATTTGCTTAAGAATCCATCAACCACTTTTTTATTATAAAATATTTAACTTTTGATAGATGTAATGATCAAAATAAGTAAGGTTGAAGTTACTAGAGATTGATTTGAAAGAATTTGCGAAACGTGACTATGCAAGAAATTCAATCACTTCAGTAAGTATTACGCAAACTTCAACTGATTCAACCCATTTCAGTGTTACCAAATATGCTCTATTTTAGTACCTGAAAGCAATTCATTTCATTAATAATGTGAATATACGTACTTATTGTGCAAAAATTAAAACACGATTAAACTTTTATTAGAAGTACGTATATGGTAATTTTTAGATACATACTATCTTCATTCGAACTTAAGATTTTCACTAAGAAAATGGCATGGTTACTTAGATAATAATTAAATAAGATTATTCGAGTATATTTGAAGAAGTTCTCTTGATTGATAATAAATATAATGAGGTCATTGGTGATAACTGAGATATTATAGGTGTATATTTTTAATATTTCATGGTTAAGTTGTCATTTAAAAGTGCTAATTATTTTCTAAAATAGAATTTGGAAGCTTTAACTAAAATGTCTAAAATGGAAAGTGGGAATCTTAAAATGAGGCAGATGAAGTACTAACTGATACTCCTCCATCCCACAATATTTTTTATTATTTATTCATAATTATGATGTCCATTAAGATGACTATTCTAGGCAATATTTTTTACTATCATTTTTTATTATGCTTTATAATTTATAAATATGTCTCACCAAGGGGTTAAAATGTTTACATTATAATAGGCTGGGTTAAAAAAAAGGGTGTTTAATGAGAAAAGTGTCAAATTTTCACTTTTAATTCTTTGCACTAGTAGGTTCAACATTTAAAGAATTTTTTAGGAATAATTTACAAGAATAATCCCAACTATTAGTGATTTGCTTGAAATAATCCAAAGTATCGATTATCTCAAAATAATCCCAACTATTGAAAAAACTTCTTAAAATACTCCATTTACTCATAAATATTATAAGTTATTTGCATATAATTATAAGTCACCGGATTATTTTGAGAAGATTTTTCAATAGTTGAGATTATTTTGAGATAATTGATACTTTGGATTATTTCAAGCAGATCACTAATAGTTGGGATTATTCTTAGCTTGTCCATTTTTCCTTTTTTTTAAATGTTGAGATTAAAGAATGCAAGGCTATCTTTTAAATATTTGTGTTCCCGCCGTATATCCATCGACCTAGTCCTTTTCTGGACTTTAATTTACAAAGATGTATGACTAAAACTTGTTCTCATTTCGCACAATAAAAATTGTTCTCATTAGAACCACTCACAGGAAAGGATTCTTATGAGAACACTATTTAGTAAGTATTGATATATATGATGTATAAACTATAATTACACACACATCTATAGGAGTAGATTCTAATACAAAGATGTCTTTCCATGAAAAAGTAAGAAGTGATCCAAACCATGGATCACTTAAAATTAGATGGAACCGATCAAAATTGTTGTGACAAAATACTAAACCTAAATGTGCAATCTTAGTAATAAATTAAAAGTGCATATAATATGTAAAAGTGCACATTCACTTCATTAAAAACACTCACAAATGTTTTTTATACCTGTTATTTTACTTCAAAATGTGATGCACTTTTGTGTTCATCAAATTCTCTTTTTCTCTAGTCGCTTTTAAAAAAAATCTTTCTACTATTTTCACTTTTACCACCGTGTTTTTCACTTTAAAATTGATCTGATCCACTTATTTTTTTCATTTTAATGGTTAATTTACTTCTCATTTTTTTCTCATTCATATGAGGAATACTTTATATTTGAACTTCCTTGTGTGTG